TTCGGGCAGACTACTTAAATTAGACAATGACTAAAGTTGTACAAGTGGCTAGTTGTACACTCTTTCCATGGTTGCTCCCTGTAGTTGTAATGCAACCATTAGCTGAATATACTATCAATAAAATCCTGGGTCACAAGTACTTAACTTAATATTTAAAAAAAAAAAATTTTTGCTATCAAAAGGGTGTGGCGACTTAGTAAAGTAGATATGTTGTCAACCACAAGTGACAGGTCTAAAGTTCAAATCCCAGTGATGATGAAAATTTGCAATTCTTTCTGTATTATGGCTAACTGTCTTTCGTAATTGGTTAGGATAGGATACCTGTAACCCATGTCATACCAGCATGACTGGAAGGTCTAGACACTCGTACAACATTGTACAAGAGAACACAAACTGGTACTGGGCAGTGTGAACCCAAGATAAGTCCTTAGACTATGTAAATCACAGGAACCAGGTAGGAAGATGGAAGCCTATTTGAAAGACCTGAGTAGAGAGATAACCTAAATCTTCGATAGTGCTACTATAAAGACTAGACCTATGAAACAGAGCTAGAACTTGTGAAACCAGGCAAATGTGCTGGTCTTTAAGGAAGGACCAGATGAACTAACTAGGTTGTCAGAATTTCTGGATTCTGGAGAAAAAAGGCACATGCTAGCAAACATGTAAACCAGAGCTATATGCTTTCGATCTACTTTTTCAGGCTATCTGGAATAACAGCTTAGTGAAACTTGAATTAAATACCAAAGTAATAAGGATATATTGTGAAGTCAGTATCAGGGTTGGAGTGAACTCTACAAGAGCATAGCAGTTTAATGATACATCCTGACTACCAGTATTGGTTTCAGCCATAGCAATACCAGGTTAACTGTAAGAATGGAATACAGAAGATTCTAAAAGGTTTAGTACAAGGTCAAAGGTTCTCTATGTGAGTGAACTGCTTTAAAGACTTAGTGGCTATAACATATTTTCACTGGTATTAGCTGAGGTCGTTAGTAGGCAGAGGTAGGTAGGTGGATACAGAAACAGAATAGTTAAATAGAGAACCTACAAGCAGGTTTCAGGTATAGCAGCTAGTATAGAACCTTCAGGTGGACTACTTAAATTAGACAATGACTAAAGTTGTACAAGTAGCTAGTTGTACACTCTTCCTATGATTGCCCCCTATGGTTGTAAAGCATCTATTAGCCAAATATACTACTAATAAAATTCTAGGTTACAAGTACTCACTTTAATATTTAAAAAAAAAAAAAAATTTTTGCTATCAATAGGATTTGAACACCCAACCTACCACTTGGAGGGTTGACAACCTGACTACTTCACTAGGTTGCTACACTCTCTTTCAAAATGATTTTGTAATTGTAAGTATATATAATAATAACTAGTTTTTAGTTCATTATATTATTCTAATATTTTGGTTTTTGTTAATACATACAATATTTTTTTAATATTTTCTATTATAGGTTTTCTATGCTTTTTATTTATACCATGATTTATATTATATAGCCAATATCAAAATGCCTGATGAACATAAAATATGCACAAAAATTTGTTTTAATTGTGACCAACAATTTGCTAATATATTTTTTTTAGTATATGAGTTATCTATAAAAAAAACAATTAGACCAACATTAGACCTATAATCAGGGAAAGCATGTTGTAAAATAAGTTCTTTAAAAGATTTATTCTATTTTTAAAAGTTATTTTTTAATTCATCAGATGTTATAATAAGACCAAAAGACAAAGTTCCTGCAATACAACTTATATAAAATAATATTATAGAAGTATTCAATAGCTTAAAAGATACTAATGTATTAATATAACAAATTTTACTAGATTGAAAGATTTTTTCATAAACAAACATATTAGGTTTGTAACTATATAAAGGATAAAAACTTTTTTTAAGTATAAATTATATTCTTAAAGTACTATACAATCTCACCCTGTATTATTGTAATTATTAACTTTCTTCTTAAGTTATTGAAACATTGATAAATCATTCTGTCTTTTAAGATGCTTATTATAATATTTTTTAAATAAATTTAAACCATAACCATAGTCAAAATTTTGTGCATGATTTGCTAAAAGATATATGAGCTTCTGATTATTATTTATATGCAAATATAATACATCTTTATAAGTATATAAAGTTATTATAGGTAAATATCTATTAACAAAAAGTTCTAAATATTTGTTATTAATCTCTTGTTTGATTTATTAGAAACTAAGAGACTTAGCAGAATGAATTATATAATTATAAATAAATTTGATATTAATTTCAAGTAGATATACTATTTAGAGATGTTAATGTTCAAGCCAAAAATGTATTATAGTTGTACAACTTATGTTCTTAGCTTGTAGTGAATATGGATTTTTTAATATAAAGGTTTTTTGCTTTTTTTTTATTTGTTTGCTATAAATACAATAACATAAATCTTGAAATATAACTTTAGTCTTCTTAATTTAAAATTCTTTAGTTTTTGACATTGTTATTTTTAATGATTCTTCAAATTCAAAAAACCATTGTTGTACATTATTAACATTATTACCATTTGTAAAAAGATTTATTTTGAATTAATGAATTATGAATCTTTCTGCTATAATAAATTTAGAAAGTTAATAAAATTTAGAAACAATATAATTATAATTATATGACAACAAAAGAGCAACATATTTAGGTAATGGTACTGAGATATTATTTAATATATTACTTGGTATTTCTTTACTTTGTAACTCTGTTATATTTAAGATCATGATGTAAAAAGATTTAATATCACATATCTTGTTTGTTTTAATTTTTTCTTTATATACAATGAATCTTTTATTATTATTTTCATAACAGATCTTAGAAAAATAGATTAAAATATGAAAAAAAAGCAATGAAAAAAATGTATTTAAATGAAACATATATAAAGAATGTCATAATATTTTTAAATTTTATTTTAATAATGTGTAATATAATTATACTAATTAAAATTGTCTTTATGTTTACAATCAAAGTATGAATAAATTAATATATATTAAACTAATAGCTAACTGCAATTAATAACAATAATAACATTTAAAAAAATTATTTGAAGAATTATTTGTTTATATATATTGTGCATATTTAAAAATTGAAACATATTACTTAATAAAAAAATACTAAAAATGAAAATTGGCTATTGTTCGTAACAATTTGCATATCATATGTACAAATAGTAACAGAGGTCCAAGGTTTGAATTATGCATTTGTCCTGTCACGTAACTGATAATCAACAAAACCTGACAGATTTCTTGGATGCCTTTAATATTGTATAATAAAAGATATCTATTTAATAATTGTAAAAAATTTTTATAAGAATTTTATACAAGTTTTTTTAATATTTAAACATCAAAAATTCTATTATAATTAATATTAAAAAAACTAATTTTTAAAATATTATTAAAAAAATATTATATAATAAAATTATTAATAACCAATTTTGTAATATACTTTTAATTTAGTCTAAAAAATAAAACAAAATAAAAATTAAAATAATTAAACAAAAATAGATTAAAAAACCATTTGTATTTAAATTTGCATGCTAAACAGTTTAAAAATGAATTTATTATTATTTTTACAAAAAACAAAAAGGTTTTATATAAACAAAACTATATAAAATTTAAAACTCCTTAATACCAAAAAATAAAAAAAATTAAAAAAAATTAAAACTTCATAGTAAAAATTTAAAAATAACTTTAAATTTTTATTACAAAAAAATTTTTTGATAATTTTAAAAAAAATTCTAATAAAAGTAATAAAATATATTTAAAACTAACTAATAAACAAACAGCCATATATATAGTATAAAATACATTTATTTAATCAACTTGTATTATTTTTCTGATTATGTATAATTATTATTAACTTACTTTAATATTACAATTTATGACGTCAATTGAAGTTTAGCAAATTGTTCTGCAACTTTAAGTGCATTATCAATTTCACTAGCATTTGTCCCACTACCCTGAGCAGCATCATCTTTACCTCCAGACTTTAAAACAATAAATTAACAAATGATTTAAACAAATTTGTTTGTAAAATAAAAGATAATATTCTACATACCTTTCCACCAACGCTTTCAGATACGACTTTAGCCCAATCAGCTGCTTTTAATCCTTTATCAACTAAAGGTTTGCCCACAATACAACTATGAGCTACACGACTTGAACTTTCATCAATTGAAAATAAGTATGCAGCCTTATCTTTTAGGTTTGCCTTACAGTGCGAAATACCACCAGCAATAGCCTATAAACATACATAATATTATAAAACATCCATGATAATAATACTAAAAGTTGATATTTTAGATAATTTGATGAAATTATCCTGACCTTTGTATTAGATCCAACGTCTAGTAATTTAATGATATATGGACTGTTGGGGTTTTTTTCAAAATAACTATTTATAATATCAATAACCTAAATTTTCCAAGTCATTAGTACAAATCAATATTTTATATAAATCGAAATTATATATAATATGTGTAAATCCATAATAAATACCTCTTTTGTTTGGGCAGCTTTCTTGGCTCTGTCAGAATCATTAAAGACTTTTCTTAGTTCATTTAATGTTTCACGATATTCTGATTTTTTTAGTGAAGATATATTTGAAGCATCAAGTTCCTTTGATACTTGTTTAAGTGCAGAATCCAATTCAACTCCTTGTAATTTTGAGATATTATCTATTTTAATTCTGAATTCATCTGCAACCTTAATTGCCTATTGAAAACGATTTGATAAAACGATATAAATTAGGGATGACAAAATAACAGAACTCGAATATGAAATATATATATATATATGAATACCAGTTGAGCTTCTTCTCCAGTCACAGCAACTATTCTACGAATGCCTTTAGCAATGCCAGATTCCTCCAAAATAATAAAACCTTTGATATCACCGGTTTTTGCAACGTGACTTAATTTAAACAAAGCAGAAGAATAAGCAATTGAAGCTAATAATAAATCATCAGATTACATTTGATACTCACGTCCCGCCACAAAATTCTATTGAAGTATCACTCCATTTTGGATTTGATACATCCTGCACGATATCGTTCACGTCATATCCTATAGATACTACTCTAACAGGATCAGGATAGACCTCACCGAATACAGCACGAAGTCCGTGAATGGCCTTCGCGACAGATAACGGAACATCCTTCGAATATACAAGTTTATTCATTTTGATGAATTCATTTGAAATTGACTCTACACGAGCTAGCTCATCATTAGTGACACCTTTCTACCATAATAACAACAGAATAAAATAAGTTATTGACAAAGTTCGATTTTATTCGTTATATTAAATGAACTGGTAAATACCTTCAGTGAAAAATCAAACCTTAATTTTTCAGGGGCAACCAATGATCCTTTCTGATCAATTGCATTACCCAAAATTTCTCGTAATGCATAATTTAGAATATGTGTAGCAGTATGATTATTCATGAGTAACTTACGACGTGGCTTTTTTATGAAAGAAATAAATCATGACTTAATCAATAGTGAAAATCAATATGATGTAATGACCTTACATACTTCATTGTATGAAGCCACCGCTTCATTTTCAACGGCAAATCTACCATAAATTAAGCACCCTATATGCAATACATAGCCTGCGAACACCTGTACGTTTTTCACTTCAAATTCTGCTTGGGTATCAATTGTATCAATAGTGATAAAACCCATGTCATATTGTTGACCGCCTTGTTCTGCATAAAAATTCGTACGATCAAGAATTATGCCAAAGGGCTTGCCAGATGGAATATCGTCAGTATTCGGAAAAAATGAGTGATTATAGTAAATGCCCTTGACAATGGTTTTTATGCTTCCACTTTCTGTACAATGAAAATCAATGAAAATAAATAAATTATTACCAAACAGATGCAATTAACCAGAACCTTTAATACATACGGTACTTGAAATTATCGTTGGTTACATTAGCAATTTTATCCTGTTCTATCTTTGCGATATCATGCATATCCAAGGCTACAACCTCACGATCATCAGCACCAGCGTTACGGGCATTGCGGCTTATTTTCTTGGCCTTTTCTTGTTCTTGCAAGAATCCCTGCTCATCCACACCGAGACCATTTTCTTCAGCCATTAATCGTGTCAAATCAACTGGAAATCCGTAGGTGTCATACAATCGCCAAACATCAGCGCCCGGAAGTGATATAGCATCATTTTGTTTGGCTTTTTGCAAATAAGTGTCAAAGAGCTTTTCACCACGATCCAATGTACGAGAGAATGACTCCTCTTCTTCATCAAGTATCTCTTTGACATTAGAGACATGTTTTGTTATTTCAGGAAAAGCTTCGCCCTGGTATAACGTGATAATTAAATGAAATTAAAGAAATATTTATGCTATTAAATCTAATACGAAGTTTTAGTCTCAAGTCTTCAACTTAGGAATCCGTTTGCACATACCATTTCGCAGACAACCGTATCTACAAGGCTTGAAAAGAAATATCCAATTGTTACATTAAACTTTTTCCTAGCATAACGCGCACCACGTCTCAAAATTCTTCTCAATACATAACCACGTCCTTCGTTACTTGGTACACCACCATCTGAAATTGCAAATGTCAAGGTGCGTACATGATCTGCGATTACCCTATATGCCATATCCAAACCATCAACATCATCTACGCCAACTTTGCCGGAATAAGGTCTTGCACCGGTTAACTCTTGAATTTTTTTAAATAAGGGTATGAAAACATCTGTATCATAATTCGAATATTTGTTTTGTAAAGCTGAAACGAGACGTTCTAATCCCATTCCCGTATCGATATGTTTGCTTGGCAACTGACGAAGCGAACCATCTGATTCACGATTGAATTGCATGAAGACTAAATTCCAAATTTCGACCACATTAGGATCATCTTGATTAACTAAATGTGCAGCATCACGATTACCAATACGATCGTAATGAATTTCTGAACAGGGGCCACAAGGACCAGTCTCACCCATTTCTATAAAACAGAATAAAAAACACGATGTAAATGAAATTATGCTGTAGAAATTAAAACATTATTAGAACTATATTTTATCACAATCTTGCAGATATGATTTACCCCAGAAATTGTCTTTAGAATTTCCAGGTATTAATTTCTCTTCTTCTATCCCCACATCCTTCCATAAACTCTTTGCCTCCAAATCCGGAGGCAATCCCATCTTTTCATCACCTTCAAAATAAGTGACATAAAGCCGATCCTTTGGAAGTTTGTACACTTCTGTGAGGAGTTCCCACGCCATAGCAATAGCTTCTTTCTAATTTATATGTATTAATTACTAAAAACATCGAAAAAATGAATACACAAACTGGAGTGTATTCAAACTTTGCTTTGGTACAAACCTTGAAATAGTCACCAAATGACCAATTTCCTAACATTTCAAAAAATGTATGATGATATACATCTTTCCCTACATCCTCCAAATCATTGTGTTTTCCACCTAAGAAAAATTGGTATAATTCAAGTGTATAATATACATGTTATTTTAAACTTTTTTTTTCTTTATTATTTCATAATCGTCAAATAAGCCAAACTACTCAGTATATCGTAGAATTAATACCTGCACGAATACACTTTTGGCTGTTGGCCGCTCTCTTAAGTTTTCCAAATTCTGAATTTGGATCAACTGTTGCCAAAAATATAGATTTAAACTGATTCATTCCCGAATTTGCAAATAATAAAGTCGGGTCTTCAAAAGGGATCGTAGAGGAAGAAGGTATATACTTGTGACCCTTTGACTCAAAGTATGATATAAAAGTTGACCGAACCTTTGCAGCAGGCCAATTATTGTTGGTCGTAGTCAATTGTGCCATTTTAATGGTAGAAAAAGCTTTCGAATAATTTAAAAAATAAAATTGACGGAACTTTGGTAAAAGGCTTAGGAGGGAACACGAAAGGTAGAATTTTTTAACGTTAAACATTGATCAAAAATTTTTTGGATAATCCGCAGTTAGAATTACTATCGGACCAATTACAATTTCAATGGCTGATGACTCATAATCGCTCAGCACAAAAAAAATTTTCTTCAAATAAATACAGAATTTTTAAAAGTTCACAACGACAAAAACCTTCATAAAAACAAATAGGTCCTGAAATGGCAAAGAGCATACGCAGCAAGATTAAACGTCGTTTTCGTGCAATTAAACGTAAAACGGTTTTTGCGCCTGTTGAAGATGCACGTACGTCTCGACTTGCTAGTAAACTATCCCAAGATTCAGGTGTCACTATACAGCCCAAACAACAGCATAATGGAATTATTTCTGATACTTCCCTCGCGGTTGAAACTACTCAAGCAATCTAGAGTCTAGAAGTAAACTGGGTCACCCATGTCAAAACGGTTCAACCGGGTCAAAAAAATTTAACACATTATTCTATCTAAATGTTCAATTCCGCTAATCTGGATTCAGAAAAAAGTTCAAAACTTTCGCTAAAAATTTTCCTTTGTATAAGCTCTGCTAATATGTAATACACTGTATATTCGACACGTTCCAAGTAATTCGTAGCGCCAGGGTTCGGGTTATGTGACGTGATTGCGTTGCATGTCATTAGTATAAAATTAATTAAAAGTCTAATACGTACGTGCGTACGTTGTTACGAAAAATGTAATACACATTTCCTTCGTAATACCCCTCCATTAATATAGTTATTAGGCGCATAGCGACCAATAACTATATATTATTTTCTAATATTTTAAATTATTTATAAAATTGAAATTGCTTTTGAATTAATACAAACATGTAAAGTCTTTGCCTTGAAAATCAAGTTATACACAAAGGTTTTGATATTTGTTAGTATATAAATTTTAATCGTCTAATTTAAATAGTTTGTTCAAAGGTTTTATATTATAACTAGAAGATTATTTATTTATTATTGTTTTTTTTTTGTTTAAGGTGACCTCTTTGGTCTTTTGACTTTTATTGGTAATGTGATTTTAGAAATCACTACAGGAAGAGTGTACAATTGGTTACACATATAATTTTTTTATATTACTTATTTAAGGAGTTTGATCAAAGGTTTTTTACCAATTATTATATTTAATATTTTTGCTTGTGTGTTTTATTTTAAATCTTTTGAACTTGCATTTAGAGAATACTGTAACAATTAACAATAGCTCTAGAACACTACTTTTACAATATCAACAAACCAGACACAACCCTTTTGCTTACAACTTTTAACATATTTTTAAAAAACTTAAACCCTAGCTACTAACATACAATAATAATAATATTATTATTGATAAAATTTGCAGATACTTTAAAAATGATAACCAAATCTCTATCATACATTGAAAAACAAATATTAATACAGAATTCTCTACTCACTATTCTCTTTCATTAATTCAATGCTCAGTTTATATAAATTGTTATCTCAACTCTCACAGAGTTACAAACTGCTATACAATTAATGTATTATCAATAATTTCTATTCAATTTCTTAAAAGAGTTTCTTTTAATACTCTTAACTTTAATGCAAACTATATTGATCTGATTCATTCAAGTGCAATTAAATATTTATTATCTCTACCTTCTATTCTTAGTATTTATATCTCTGATTCTTTTATATTAGAAATTTTTAAGCAAGAAGAAATCATATATATACTTGAACAATATTCCTTTATTAATACAATACAAAATACATTTAACTTCTATATAGATGGTTCTGTAATTGATATTGATACAAATCTATATATAATGGATATTGGATAGGTACAAATTAATGATTCCAACTAAATAATTCACAAATTCTTAGCTAAAATCTATTATTGATTATCTTTTTACAAAGCTAAACTAATGTCAATTCTTTCAGCTGTTTCAATTATTTCTCACAACTTAATAATTAATATCTTTACTAATTCTCAGTCTATAATTACTAAATATTCAAAAATATATACTATTCTTTCAAATCTTAACAAGCTTTTCAAATTCAGTTCATGATCAATATGGCACACTTTGCTCAATATTATCAAATCTTATAATTATCAGATTAGCTTTTACAAAGTACAAGCCCACTCTGATAACATTCTTAATAATTTAGCAGACTCATTAGCAAAACAACATAATTCATTACCTAAAATTATATCTCAACTATACAAGCATCTACAATCCATATCATATAATTCTTTGGAACCAACATTTTATAGAACATCCAACT